GGGAATTCCAGTAAGATATCTTTAATCATTTCTAAGATACAACGTTTCCAAGCTTAATCTATCAATTGGACAATTTTGCTGTTACACGATTTGCATAATTACTATTGTATTGCTATTACACCCGGTATATGCGAGAATATAAGATGAAGAGAATTCAATACTACTACTATTACTACTACTACTACTAATAATAATAATATAGGTGGGTGGAAAATAATTCTTCTAGAAGAATCCAGAGATGCTTTTGAACTCTATCAAGACTGGGAATAGAGGACTTGATAGCTTTCATCCAAATATGGCAACAGTACAAAATTTTTGACCTGATCTGGCTTATAAAGCTAAAGGATAGAATGGGAAGTCGGGTACTTTCTGGAGTGATAGAGGGAGCCAATGATTTTACTTACATCTTTAGCGATGGATTGTGTTATGGGATCTTACCCATAATAATAATAATGGACTATTCCATACTTAATAAATACTGCGCCTCAGGAGTAGGCAAGGAGTGAGTCAGCCGTTCATTTTTGAACAGACTGATCGGTTCAACTCTCTGTCTCCGGACGGAGGAGGAACCCGAAGGATGGCTACGCCGAAGGGAGGTAAAGCCGGCCCTGAACCTTCGTTTATACGGGTTCAAACAGGCAAATTTGAGCCGAGCCCCCGAACCCGTTTAAAAACCGACCTTTGTTCAAATTCCCCCAGGGGGAGACTCAATATCGTGAGTCAGCCGTTCATTTTTGAACAGACTGATCGGTTCAACTTCTGTCTCCGGATTTGAGAGGAACCCGAAGGAGGCTACGCCGGGGCGGAGTCTCCTTCGGGAGGTAAAATCAACCCTGAACCCGTTGATGCGGGTTCAAACGGGCATCTCTGGAATAAAAAAAACCGACCTTGTGTCACATGGTTCCCCAGTGGGGGAGACTCAATATCGTGAGTCAGCCGTTCATTTTGAACAGACTGCTCGGTTCAACTCTCTGTCTCCGGACGGAAGGAACCCGAGGCTACGCCGAAGGCGGACGCCGATGGGCCCTGAACCGTCTGCGGGTTCAAACGAGGCATATTTTAGGCCAGGCCCTGGAACCCCGACCTTATGTCACGGGTTCAAATGTGAGTCAGCCGTTCACTTTTTGAACAGACTGATCGGTTCAACGTCCCGGACGGAGGGAACCCGGAAAGGGTGGAGTCTCCTTCGGGGAGGTAAAACTCCGGGTTCAAACGGGCACCTTGTGTCACATTTTGCCCCAGTGGGGGAGACTCAATATCGTGAGTCAGCCGTTCATTTTGAACAGACTGCTCGGTTTAACTCTCTGTCTCCGGACGGAGAGGAACCCGAAGGAGGCTACGCCGAAGGGCGGAGTCTCCTTCGGGGAGGTAAACTCGGCCCTGAACCCGTTTATGCGGGTTCAAATGGGCATATTTTTTGGGCCGAGCCCACGGGCTCCAGGAATCCCAAATAAAAACCGACCTTGTGTCACATGGTTCCCCCAGTGGGGGAGACTCAATATCGTGAGTCAGCCGTTCATTTTTGAACAGACTGCTCGGTTTAACTCTCTGTCTCCGGACGGAGAGGAACCCGAAGGAGGCTACGCCGAAGGGCGGAGTCTTCTTCGGGGAGGTAAAATCGGCCCTGAACCCGTTGATGCGGGTTCAAACGGGCATATTTTTTTGGGCCGAGCCCACGGGCTCGGGAATCCCCTAATAAAAACCGACCTTGTGTCACATGGTTCCCCCAGTGGGGGGAGACTCAATATCGTGAGTCAGCCGTTCATTTTTGAACAGACTGATCGGTTTAACTCTCTGTCTCCGGACGGAGAGGAACCCGAAGGAGGCTACGCCGATGGGCGGAGTCTCCTTCGGGAGGTAAAACTTTCAGCCCTGAACCCGTTGATGCGGGTTCAAACGGGCATATTTTGGGCCAGAGCCCACGGGCTCGGGAATCCCCGTGTCCTGTTGCCCCCAGTCCCCAGAGGAGGGAGACTCAATATCGTGGAGTCAGGTTCCCTGAACCCCGTTTATACGGGTTTCAAATGGCCCCGAACCCGTTTATACGGGTTCAAATGGGCATTTGCCGAAAAACCGACCTTATGTCACATGCCCCCATGGCTCGGGAATTCCACGTTAAAAACCCGAAAGGCTTGTGGCGGAGCTCCTGAGGTAAAACACCCTCGTGGGGGTTCAAATGACTCAATATCGTGAGTCAGCCGTTCACTTTTTGAACAGACTTCATCGGTTCAACTCTCTGTCTCCGGACAGAGAGAGGAACCCGAAGGAGGCTACGCCGAAGGGCGGAGTCTCCTTCGGGGAGGTAAAATCAGCCCTGAACCCGTTGATGCGGGTTCAAACGGGCATATTTTTTTTGGGCCGAGCCCACGGGCTCGGGAATCCCAAATAAAAACCGACCTTGTGTCACATGTTTGCCCCAGTGGGGGAGACTCAATATCGTGAGTCAGCCGTTCACTTTTGAACAGACTGCTCGGTTCAACTCTCTGTCTCCGGACGGAGAGGAACCCGAAGGAGGCTACGCCGAAGGGCGGAGTCTCCCCTTCGATGGGGTTCAAACGGGCATGTTAAAAAGGCTCAGCCCTGAAAACCGACCTTGTGTCACATGGTTTATGGGGGTTCAAATCGGGTTTTGAACAGACTGATCGGTTCAACTCTCTGTCTCGGACGGAGCCTAATGGGCTCCTTCGGGAATGCCCACCTGAACCCGTTTAAAAATTACAGGCCTTGGCTGCCACCTTGTGCCACATGGTTCCCTCGTGGGGGTGACTCAATATCGTGAGTCAGCCGTTCACTTTTGAACAGACTGATCGGTTCAACTCTCTGTCTTCGGACGGAGAGGAACCCGAAGGAGGCTACGCCGAAGGGCGGAGTCTCCTTCGGGGAACTAAAACGGCCCTGAACCCGTTTTTACGGGTTCAAATGGAGCATATTTTTGGCCGAGCCCACGGGCTCGGGAATACCCACAATAAAAAACCGACTTTGTGTCATGTTGCCCCAGTGGGGGGTGACTCAATATCGTGAGTCAGCCGTTCACTTTTGAACAGACTGATCGGTTCAACTCTCTGTCTCCGGACAGAGAGGAACCCGAAGGAGGCTACGCCGAAGGGCGGAGTCTCCTTCGGGGGTAAAACTCGGCCCCGAACCCGTTTATACGGGTTCAAACGGGCATATTTTTTTGGGCCGAGCCCACGGGCTCGGGAATCCCACAATAAAAACCGACCTTGTGTCACATGTTGCCCCCAGTAGGAGGGAGACTCAATATCGTGAGTCAGTCGTTCACTTTTGAACAGACTGCTCGGTTTGAACTCTCTTCCTACGGGCGGGAGGAACCTGAAGGAGGCTACGCCGAAGGGTGGAGTCTCCTTCGGGAGGTAAAACCGGCCCTGAACACGTTTATACGGGTTCAAATGGGCTATTTTTTGGCCGAGCCTAATGGCTCAGGAATGCCCACGTTAAAAAGGCCTTGTGCCACATGACACCCTCGTGGGGGGGTGACTCAATATCGTGAGTCAGTCGTTCACTTTTGAACAGACTGCTCGGTTTGAACTCTCTTCCTACGGGCGGGAGGAACCCGAAGGAGGCTACGCCGAAGGGTGGAGTCTCCTTCGGGGAGGTAAAACCGGCCCTGAACCCGTTTATACGGGTTCAAATGGGCTATTTTTTGGCCGAGCCTAATGGCTCAGGAATGCCCACGTTAAAAAGGCCTTGTGCCACATGACACCCTCGTGGGGGGGTGACTCAATATCGTGAGTCAGTCGTTCACATTTGAACAGACTGCTCGGTTCAACTCTCTGTCTTTGGACGGAGAGGAACCCGAAGGAGGCTACGCCGAAGGGCGGAGTCTCCTTCAAGGAGGTAAAACCGGCCCTGAACCCGTTTATACGGGTTCAAACGGGCATATTTTTGGGCCGAGCCCACGGGCTCGGGAATCCCACAATAAAAAACCGACCTTGTGTCACATGTTGCCCCAGTGCGGGGGGAGACTCAATATCGTTAGTCAGTAGTTCAAGTGGAGTCAGTCTTTCGAATCAGTCAGTAATTCAAGTCGAGTCGAGTTAGAGGCAGTCCAAAACAGAGTCGCGTTCAGACAATTACTGCAAGACATTGGAATAGTGATACTGGTCAAGACTACATTGTTCTCTCTACTAAACCTGATTGTTTATACTAACACTTCTACTTCTCTGTATATATTCCTGTTTGTAATATATGTGTTATTCCATACCTGTGTTCGAGTTCATCTTTATTGGTTCTACGTTGGACTATCACTGTGGTACAAGGAACCGGACCATAACAGATTGTAAACATAAGAATTCTCTCTCACATGCGGGATATGGCGACCCTCTCATGGACGAACTACATTATTTGGTTCCCCCTTAACGGCCATGCCACTTACATAGTAGCAAACCACCTACATTCCCTCCGTATGTCATCGGATTGAAGTAAGTTTCACTCGAACAGTGAACCACTGCTTTGTGGAAGAGACTCCCAAGAGGATGTTTCCCCGATCACTACAATCTTAACCTGTTCAGGTCTAGAGAAAACCGTTATCTTTCCCTCCTACCCAATTCATTTTCTAATAGATTTTTCTTTTTAAAAAATATTTATACATTACAATAACTTTCTTACCTCCCTTGACGTTTGCACGTGTGTGTCTACGCGATAAAATTTTAAAATTGTGCAGTATATAACCGTAGCGATTTTCAGTCCACACGTAAAAATATGAGTTGCCTCAGAAAAAACAAGATCCTGATGACAACATTGTGCTAATGTCGAATAAACTTGTCTAAATTATTTAATGAGACATATATATATATATATATATATATATATATATATATATATATATATATATATATATATATATACATACAGAGAGAGAGAGAGAGAGAGAGAAAGAAAGAGATATGAACAAGCCGGGAGAGAGAGGCAAGTGTAGAGTGTCTGACAAGGAAATTTGGTTGATTTTGTTTAGCGGCATAACAACATCTATATGGGTTATT